GGACGTCACTGACTACTTAGCTTGAGAGAAAGATGGTGACAACATTAATTTCTTTAATGAAATCTCTACTTTGGTATTAACACCGCTCGTGTATATAGGTGAACCGAGTAATACAGCCCAAGTCTCCATAGCCCCGGCCTAGCCTTGATTCAATTAATATTAATTTTAATATTATTTTAAAAAATAAATTTAATTAAATAATTAATAAATTAAAAATTAATTTTTATTTTTAACATAAATTTATAATTAAAAAGTATATTTATTATTAGATAGGATTAATGTTTGTTTGTTTACTTTTAAAAAATTAGATGAAAAAATGAGAAAAAAAATCTTAATTTGTGTTTTAAAAATAAAATATTTTAACTTTTATCAATAAGTATTTATTAAATTAATATAATTTTAAAATAATATTTTTTTTAATTTTTTAAAAATAAAATATATAAATATTATTTTTTTATGAGATTAACCCATAATAAAATCCTAAACTCTGGAGAAAAGATCAACTATCATCCCGCACTTAACTACAGCTAATGAATGTCATTAACAATGTTAAAGTAATTATTTTTCTGGCTGACGTGTCTTTAATTAGGCATTAACTTGCAATTAACGGGAGTGAGCGGAAGCAGGAAGAGGCAAAAGGCAGAAGATATACCAACGGGCCGATAGATTTTTGGGTTTTTATTTATTTATTTTTTAAAATAGTTTTAGTTTCAAACGACAGCAGGGATTGAGCCAGCATAGGGCAAGGGGAAGCGGTTGTTCCTCTCAATTTTAAAAAAATGTTAAATATGACACAAATATTTATTTTTGAAGTTTGAATTATAAAAATCATTTAAATATAAATAAAATATTTATGACTTAGGTAAAGAGATCATTTATGATTAATTTTTATAAAGACATAATAATTTTATTTAAGTAAAAATAAATATAAAAAAATAGTCTATATCTAATTATATTAAATATATATAACTTATATAAGTCATTATATTAATTACATATAATTTTTATTTGTATAACTAATATTCTATTAAATTGATGGTTGAATCTATTTTATTTATGTAAATATGTTTCAAATTTAAAATTAGTTTGATATATGTAACCTTACAAAGGAAATAAACTAATTTTTATATTATTTATTTAAAAGTTTTAAATTATATGCTATTAAAAAATAATTAAAAATATCTAATTAATATAAAATTTGAGTGAATAATATAAGTAGTATATGAATAAAATTAATAATTAATATAAAAATTGATATAAATTACATCATATAAACTGATAAATAACTTTAAAAAAATTTTAAAATTTTACTCTCCTTGCATAAATTCCTAACTCTGTCCTTGAAATGATAGGCACATAATCATTTCAATAGTTTATAAAAGCCACATATACAAGCCATACATGCAGCAAAAAAAATAAAAAATAAAAAAAAATTAGAAGAAGGAAGTCGCATAAGGCAAAAAGTTGATTCCTTCGACTTCATTAATGGTATGTTGGCAATTTGAATAAGAGCAGTAGTTGTCGACGGCATGATAATATATTACCATATTACTCTAGAGGTGATATCGAGTAATTGCCATTGGGAAATTTAATATCTAGATTTTATTACCATAAAACATCATTATATTTAAAAATAATTGAGATATACTTTTTATACAAATATTTTTATATATACAATCTCATATGTCATTTATGTAATTTTTTATAGTATGATTGAGTTGAGAGAAATAAATAAAAAAAAGAAGAGAGGTAAATATTTTATTTACTAATCAAATTACAATAA